GAAGAAGAAGAAGAAGAAGAAGAAGAAGAAGAAGAAGAAGAAGAAGAAGAAGACAATAATAAGAATAACAGCAGCACCAGCACCAGCACCAGCATAATTTTTTGAGGATGCAGAAACTAATATAAAGTTACAAACGCTTGTAACCTTGAATTGACCTGCCTTGTAGCCCACTGCTTGCTTTTTCTATCTGAGCCTCTAAAGTTATCTAGAAAAAGAGAAGGTTCTACATTTATGACAACTGGTGTCATCACAATCGATCATACGCTTTTTTAATCCCATTTTAAGAGGCGGTGCTTAGAATTGACACTGCGAGATGCAAGCCACATATGTTACCCGAGGACGCTGTATTAAAATGAGAGACCTGTCTATAAACCTCCCATTCTCCCAGGGATGATCGAGAAAGCAGTGGTCAGTTTTTCCTCTCTCTCTCAGAATCCATTTGCCGAGTGGTAAGAAATCCGACTCAACTGGGAGCGAAGTGGGACAAATCTACGCCTAGCACAGACTTCTTTACCAGCTACATTCCGATTTTTCAGCATGAAGTGGATGGCGCTACTCTTTGTTGCGCTTGCTTGCCTGACCGTGTCTACAGACGCATCAAGATATAATAGGAAACCAAAAAAACCCAAGACGGTAAAGAATGTGTTCGTTCCGGCAAATATTTTTTCGCTTATTCGCTACCTCAGAATCACACAGCTCTATCTGAAAATGTTGCCCGTTTTGAGATACTAAGACAATGGGATTAGAAATCAAAAGCTCTGTCTGTTCCGTCAAAATCGTAAGTTTATTCTCAGCTTTTTAAAAATCAAGACATTAAAATATTGCATGAAAAAATCTTTACATATTGTGAAACTCAAAATTTTTGACGTCAAATTTCTCAAAACTAGGTACTGAGCTGACACAATTTTGTAATTTTAAGGTAGCGAATTGTAATGCCGCTAGTTAAAGTACAGGTACTGTTTGTCACCCCCCCCCCTCCTCCTTTGTTTCAGTCTTTCTTGGCTCTGCTTATGTCGTGGGCGCTGATGTTCTTCCCCTTCTACTTTTTGCCTGTGTCTTGTATTGCCAGGCAATCTTCACAAAGTCAGCCTTTTGATTTCGTAGCTATATTAAGTTTCTTCCGTTTATTAATTATTAAAGTATCCATGCTGTTCTTAATTCTTTATTCTAACATTGTTTCTTTTGTTCTTCTGTCTGTTAGACGGCCAATCAGCAGCCTAACAAACTACCAACGTCCTCGCTACTTAAAAAAGTTTTATCATCGTCTTATCTTGGTATCCTGTATTCGGAACTAGATATCTTGACATACCTTTATAGGTGTTTTCATGATTTACAATTTCAGATAGACACAGAATGCTGCAATCTTTCCCGAGATAGCGTAAAAAAATCCTTCTGCTTTGAGCTGTTCGTATTCTTGTTTTGTTTTCTTTGAAACTTGATCCATGTATTGTTTTGACTGAATTTAGATTGTTGGTTTTTGAAATTTTAGAGGGTATTCATCAACCTGATATTTTTGTTTTCCTGCTCTGTAACAAAGGCAACGTATTACAACAACAACAACAACAACAACAACAAAATCCGAACAAAAAACAAAACGCAGCAAAACATGAAATAGTAATATGTGTAACATTCCTCTGGGTTAAAAACAAAAACAAAATGACTTTGGAACATCTTTGGCAGTTGGTTTATGTTTCTAAAGTTAGACACCATACTCTTTGTTACTACTTGTGCCTGCTGTCGAAGCTGTCTCTCAGTCAGTAGGCTGCTTTTACGTCTAAAAATCGTCATAAAAAATTTGTCGATTTTGTTGTTGAAGCATTTATTGTATCAAAACTATGGTAACTTTCTTCAGCACTGCTGACAAACAGGGTGTTTAACCTGACAACAACAACAATAACAACAACAACAACAACAGCAGCAGCAGCAGCAGCAGCAGCAACAGCAACAACAAAAAACAGCAACAACAACAACAACAGTAACAAAAAGAATGCTGCCGACGCCGAAGATACTTGTTTTGCCTATGCATTAGTCATATAGTCTGTCACATTTTTAAGTATATATTGTGTTAAAATGAAAATAGCTAGTTTCACAATTTGCCAACATTCTTAAAAATTTCAGGAATACTAATTCAATCAATTTAAAAAACGAAAAACAACAACAACAATACCGGAAGTTAACATAACAGGTTTATTCCCGACTTACAAGAGTGTGGGGGTGATATATAAAAGTAACACGACCAGTAGCGCGTATGAGGTCTTCTTGCATTGATGACGGCCTGACATCGACGCCGCACGGAATCAATCAGTCGCTGTACTGCAATGGTCTCTCAAGTTGAGGAAGTGTCTGAGGTTGGTGTTGTCGCCTGTTTTTCAACTCATCTCTGGTTTGTTTTGCTGTTTTGAAACGATTTCGTAGATGTGACAGGCGTATAATTAGAATTCCTTTCTTTGAGTAATCCAGCTTTTCTTCTCTCAAGTCGACTGGGTCGATCCTTAGGGGATTCTGTTTTTCTCTCAAGATCCATTGTTGTGTACACAGCTCTTGTTGTTACATTAAAATGTCTCGCAGCAGTGGATACCGAAGCACCCTCGCGGGTCATTCCAATAAGCTGATTTCGCACATTTTGTCTCTGGCGTGGCATCATGAAACGTAGACAAACAAGTTTTTATCACTGGCGAATTGTTTCAATAATGACAAAGCTTTGATGTGTACTTCTTTTTTAAACAAATATTCTCTGCGTCACGAGTTATTATTAAAAAAACCCAAAACATGTAACACGCATGCAGTGACAAAACCACTCCTACGTTCAGAAATTTGAAAAAAACAACTTACCAGTGACAGTTATATGTTTTTATTGAGCTTTAAAATGTGTATACTTAAACATATGACAGAGTATATTATTTTTAGACGCACATCTATTAAATTCTTTTGCAGCATTAGCAAGTTTTCAGATGGGGAAAATTATTCGTTTGTATGAGATGTACACTTGAACTCCCTAGTAGTACCTGTAAAGAAGGCATTTCAAAAAGTCATCACTGTAACGATTTGGTTTGAATTTCGTAAAAGTTTTGAAAATTTGACTTAAAAATTTTGAGTTTCACAATAACATGTCAAGCTTTTTCCAATGCTATTCTTTAAATATCTTGATAACGACGCCGAATGATCTTACGATTTTGATAGAGCAGATAGAACATTAAAATTGGATTTTTCTCCCCATGTTCATTTAGGGACTCAAAACAGCTAAAACGTCAGACAGAACTTTGTAATTCTAAGGTACCGTAGCGACTTGTTTCCAGTCATTCAGACATGTTCTGACCTCTGTTTCTATTTTAAGCGTCCGTTATTTCGTTTCTGAAGAATATCCTTTTTTCTGGATTGCTGTGGGTTAAAAAAACATTTTGTGAGACCAAACCATCATTTTGTTTGATATTTTTCAAGACTGTACGCTCTAACCTAAGTCTGGTTCACCACGAAGCGCATTTTCAACTCTATTTGGAAATAAATCAAGGCCCCAGAGGGAAAGGTTGTGTGCGCTTAAGCGAATCTGGTGTTTTGTTAAGGTACCCATGGTGCGCAGCTAGCAGCGCAGTGACGTTTTTATTGAGAACAACAAATAGCCGCGACCAAGACAATGCCCGATTTAGGGTATTATAATTCAAGTCTTTGAACCAAAATGTCTTCCATCCCTTCCCTTTCCGTGCTAATTGGTGTGAAGAAAGCAATGTGTCCATGATCGTGTCTGTAGAATTGTTAAAGTTGCAAATACAGAAATTGAAAGTAATGTGCGGTCACATTTGCGATCTTTTTCTACATTATTATGTTTGTGCAAAGACTAAAAATACATCATGTAATTTGTGTGTGTGTGTGTGTGTGTGTGTGTGTGTGTGTGTGTGAGTGTGTGCTTCCCAAAAACTTAATTTAAAAAAGCAGTACGAAGTCATATACTATATTTGAATGAGATCATTTTACTTGAACAAGGGAAGGGAAAACACCAGATCCATACAAACCAACATACAATATTATGTTATCTGACCTCTGATTGTCTATCAGCTTCACTTTAAGATATGATATTAAAGATTGTCTTTCACCCTTCTTTTCTTGTTCCATCTCTTATGGGGTTTATTGAAACTAACTTGATTGGTCCCAAAATTATATTTCACTGAGGGATTGGTGCTTTTCGCTTCTGTAAAAAAAATTAAACAGGTTTCAGGAGTTCCTCTAACCAAAACAAGTCTATACTTTGAGTCTGTATTGGCATGAGTTGATACCGCTTTTGACTAGATAAAGTTACCAGTCTTCTGGCGGTTGATCTACACGATATGACCAAGCCAATTTGTTGTTAACCCGTAAAAACACTGTCTTCAAAAATACTTTTTCGGTTGTTAAAACAAGGTAATCAGCACCAAAGTTAAGACTGGAACAACGAAGAGACCAGCTTGGAGCCGCTGCACGCAGGAGACGTGAGTTCTGTTCTCATTTGGGAAGTTGGGTTTTTCGTTAGTTTTTTCTTTTCTTAAATTATCTGGTATCTCCTTCTTTCTCCTACAATGTTGTATCTTTAGTTTAGTTTTAGTAGGAGTTTTACGGCACTTGCAACACAGTAAGGTCATATAAGTGCCGAAGATTAGTGGTTTTACAAGACAGTAACAAACACAAAAAAGGAGGAGAGGACACAAACCCAAATTTTACAAACGGCTCGAAGCAGCCCGCCTTCCAAATCATCAAAGTTGTGTCAGTGGGCGTAAAAAAAACACTTACATACAATAAACAATACATTATAATATTATACATCTAGATGTCCCAACTGGTTACTATAAGTCTGAGCTCCGGGGTTACTTGGTAAAATGAGGAAAAAAAACTCTCATTCTGGACTAGACCTAATCCAAGCCGGTAACGCAATTGGTGGCTATTTGATGGTGACTGCAAAAGTTGTGAGTTTTCAGGCTCTCGACCTCTCCGTGATTTCGTAGGCAGCTGGACAATCAAACGGCCTCGCCGCTTGAATGGTCTGCATTGTGTGGAAATCACCGCTGCAATCAAATTAATTCTTGACATACACTGGAGTTAATTCTTGCTATAGATAGATTTTGCTTATAAATGTGTGTTGAGAGTGTGGGTGTGTGAGAAATGGGATGTCCATATTATTTTTTTATCGCGAGAGTACATTACTGCATGTATGTGTGTGGGTGTCTGTGTGTGTGCGTGTGCGTGCGAGTGTGTGAGAGTGCACCTTGGTCAACTTGGTCAAAGGGCGTTCAGCAGC